TAGGGTTCAGGGTTTAGGGGTTTAGGGCTTAGGATTTAGGGTCGAGGGCTTTGGGTCTAAGGCTTTAGGGGTTTAGGGTTTAGGGTTTAGGGGTTTAGGGTTCAGGATTTAGGGTTTAGGGCTTAGGGTCTAAGGCTTTAGGGGTTTAGGGTTCAGGGTTTCGGGTTCTTGCCTTGTCCCCGACATCGGATCTAGTCCAGGCCCTAAGGCCCTATGCCTCGAATCCTTTGCATGCCTTCCTTTGAAAAGACGCGTGAAGGAGGCCCTCCTCGTGTCATGTTTGTGCAAAATACTGCCCACATAAGCCCCATAGTCTAGGACGTTTCAGGTGGGTAGTTCCCGTTATGGGAGCCTTCTAGAAGGTCTATAGACCTTATAGAAGCCCCATAGAAGCCTTATTTGCCCCAACCTCCCCACCTGTAGTTTCCTTCAACATAACCTACTACACTTTAGACCGTCTTTTGAGCCAACCTCACGGATCCCAAGCCCCAGGTACTGTTATGGGGGATACTTTCCCGAATCCCAATGGTAATTCCTACGATAGAAGTCCTAGATTCCGACACTCGACTATCTAGGCACGGACTGTTATGGGGGATACTTTCCCAGCTTATAATGGTAACTCCTACTATAGAGACCCTACGATCTACTATACAATATAGGTCCTGTGGGCCCTAAACCCTAAACCCCAAACCCTAAACCCTAAACCCCTAAACCCTAAACCCCTAAACCCGAAACCCTAAACCCTAAACCCCTAAGCCCTAACCCCTAAACCGCTAAACCCTAAACCTTTTTGGGTAAAGGGAGGCTTGCTTCCTCGGTTGCGCTGGTGCAGCCAAAGTAGCGGGCCGGATTCGGGCTTCATGGCTTACTCTTGCGTGGGAGTGTTGCAGAAGTGATGGAGGCGTTTAGGGTTTAGGGTTTCGGGTCTAGGGTGTAGGGTTTAGGGGTGTGCTTTCTGCGGACGTTTGAGTGCCCGCTCGATAGGGAGCTGGCTTTCTGCGCCTGTCATGTGTGATGTTAGGGCTGTGTGGGCAACAAAAGCCCAGAAAGCATGCGGCTTCAGCCAAACCCTAAACCCTTGTATGTGCACCCTAAGGCCCTTAACCCTAAACCCTAAACCCCAAACCCTAAACCCTTGTATGTGCACCCTAAGGCCCTAAACCCTAAACCCTAAACCGTTTGGTAAGAGGACCTGGGAATTCCCGAGCAGAGTCTACTGCCTGACGGAGAGCCAGCATGGAAGGGGCTAGCCTCTCGACAGGTTAGGGTTCAGTTTTTAGGGTTTAGGGTTAGAACTCGACAGTTTAGGATTTTGGGCTCAGGCTTAGAATTTTGAAGGTGTCCTTGTTCTCATGGGGCTTTCTAGGACACCACGTGTAAATCTCAGGGTCTGGATTCTGACGTCTGACCTCCGAAACTCAAAATCACGAGCACCAACACCTGGAATCCAGAAGTTTCCAGACCCGCTAAACTTAATGTAGGGGCCTTAATACTTACCTGTATTATTGTGGAGGTTCCTTATTGTAAATAAGGTGGGGGCCTAAATAATTACCTATATTATTTTGGGGGGTTCCTGATTGTAATTATAGTATAACGGGCCCCAAACCCCTATTGTATTTATTAAGGCCCCTATCTTAGAGCCCGGGGGTAGACATGATACTCCAGATACATGTTGGCAAAAGGGTTTAGGATTTAGGGTCTAGGGTTTAGGGTTTAGTTGCAACCTTTTGCCCTCAACCAAGTGATTCTTTCTGGCACTGCTCTGTCTGTGCGCACGCAGAAGTTTCCGTTTCTTGTGTTATGGCTTGGGGTTGAGTTCCGAATTTCCGTGTGCACTATGGCTCCTTCAGTGTCAAGGCCCTTCAAGTCAGAAGAGGGCTTTAGGAAAACGTCAACGTGGTATAGGATCTGAACGGGTGTCTCCCTACCTCTGGGTTTTGATAAGGTTAGAAGGCTCATCTGCATCATCCAACCTGAAACATCAACCAAAACCATCAGGGTCCGTGTCCTTTGCATAGGGTTCCTTGCAAGACGCCAAGTCAGTCCGCAAAATAGTTTGCCGCTGCATAGTGGTGGGGCTAAGGGCATGCATGTCACGTTTCTCTGACTCCTGCAATATCCAAAGGTATAGGCATACACTATAATACGGTGGATGATATAAATCCTGCCTGAGCTTATATACCCCTGAACTTTAGTATTGTCGAAGGCAGACGTGCGTGAATCGGACCGCGAAGATGATATAAACCCTGCATTACCTCTCCCCTAACATCAACTTTGAGATTCAAGGGCACGGGGACATAACTCTTTGGACGGCTCATGTTGGGCTGGCTCAAAGTCATGCGCGATTTCTATCATCAACAGTAGTTCCCGAGTTAGTTACCGTACTTTAAGGTGCTGCAGGTAATTCAGGAGCAACCTACTGCGGGATTTTTGTCCATCAGCAGCGCATCTGCAACATTGCCTTAGACCTCATTTCTGAGCCGAGGGAGCCAGCTCTATGACCTCTATGGGTCCGTCCACCAACGTAGTAGAGACTTTGGACCTCAGAGGGTTCCGTTAAACCCTAACAGTAACCCTAAACCCTTAAGGTTTAGGGGGGTTTAGGGTAGGGTCATAAACTTTAAACTAAACCATAAAGTCCTAAGGTATTGGGTTTACATAAACTACTTACTTTACCTGTTGTTTCCATTGTTGTTCCTTTTTGGGTTTAACCAAGCATATATCTCGGGTTCCTATAGGTAACCCAAAAGTGGAACTTCAACGGAGACTAGACGTATGGTTGATGTGTGTGCAGATGGGTACACGGACCTTTAGAGCTCAGTGCTTCTATCCACCTGTCTATTTGTTCGTAGGTCTGTGTATTTGCCTACATATCTGTTTGTGTGTCCACCTATCTAACTATATCTATCTACCTATTTATCTATCCGACTATCTCTCTCTCTCTCTATCTCTCTGCCTACCCATCTGTCCTGTTCGTCCGTCTGTCTTGCTCACTCTCTCTCTCTCTCTTTTCACTCTCTCTCCCTCTCTCTCTCTCCCTCTCTCTCTCTCCCTCTCTCTCTCTCTCTCCCTCTTTCTGTCCCCGCAAATCTATCTATCGCAGAAAGTTGACAGGTCTTGAGCCCTGAAGTCCACATCCAACTCCCAACGCCTCCCATTTTGTCTTCACACGCCGAGACGTTGGCAACGATCATCCCACCTGGCTCCCGACATCAGCCGCTGCAGTCAAAACCTGGTGAGGCTGGACCTTTTGGACAAAATGAACCCTAAAAGAGTTTAAGGTTCATACACCATATAGGGATTCATAGTATAAGGGTATAAGGCCCCGACTTTTAAGGGTCATTTCGTCCTTAAGGGAGGGAGAATTTCGACTTCGGGAGTTGGCGGATCTTTCTTCATCAAGAGACTTTAAGCGTCAAAAGGAGGTAAGAAGCCAGGGTTTAGGGTTTAGGGTTTAGGGGTTTAGGGTTTAGGGTTTAGGGTTAGGGAAAGTATAAGCTCGAATGCCCGTTCGAAGTGCGGAACCTGAAACCCCAATCCCTAGTATGGAAGCCTGAATAATTACCATACTGTTGGGGTTCCTTATTATACTAACACTATAAAGGAGCCCACAACCCTGTTCTAGTTATGAAGGCCCCTACATTACCTCACCCTAAGCCCTCAACCCCTCAACCCTAAACCCTACCTCAAATGGGGCAGCGCGGATGCCGACCCCATCACTGTTTCGGAAGTTTGCCCCAGGGCCCAACGCAGGGGAAGCCTGTACGGGTTAGGGTTTTAGGGTATTAGGATTTAGGCCTTAGGGTTTTAGGGTTTAGGGTTCAGGGTTTTAGGGTTTTAGGGTTTAGGGTTCAGGGTTTTAGGGTTTTAGGGTTTAGGGTTCAGGGTTTTAGGGTTTAGGATGTATGTTTCCCCTTATGCCACCGTCCTGTAGCAAAGAAACAAGTTGTGAAAGCACCATCATGAGAGATCACATGCACCTTTTAAACGTTACGGGTTATCCAGCACCCCCCAACTACCCTCTATAATACCTAACATACCCATGATTGAGGACCATAAGGGCTCTATCAAAAGGTACTTGGGGGGTGCTGGATAGGGCTTAGGGAGGTCACAATAACGTTTTCAAACCCTACATAAACCCTAAACCCTAACCCGAAACCCTCAACCCTAAACCCTAAGCCCTAAACCCCAAAACCCTAAACCCTAAAACCCTCAACCCGAAACCTCACTGAACCATTTGGAAAGACTCCACTGCTCGGATCTGCAGGGCATGCTGCGGTACCAGCGGGAGGTTCCCCGACTAAACTTGGTTGAGGGTTTAGGGTTTAGGGCTGCGGGTTGAGGGTTTGGGGTTGAGGTTTCAGGGTTGAGGGTGTAGGGTTGAGGGTTTGGGGTTGACGGTTTAGGGTTGAGGGTTTTGGGTTGAGGGTTTAGGGTTGTGGGTTTAGGGCTTAGGGTTTACAACTCTGAGAGAAGGGGTCTTAGGGCTTACGGTTACGGGTTGAGGGTTCAAGTGGGAGGTGTGGTTTGTTGCACGGCTTCGTTTCGTGCATGAGAAGCCTCACCCTTAAATCCTCAACCGCCAAGATTGTCAGGACTAATGAAGGGGCCTAAATAATTGCCAATACTATGTTGGGGTTTCCTACGTACACTTACAGTATAATGGGCCCCAAAACCCCATTCTAACTATTAAGGCCCCTATGTTAACCGTTGTAGCTGCTGCACTGCTCAATGGAACCCTATACTTCTCTTTGGCAAAATACCAAATTGAGCCTTACTCAAACGATGAAGGCCCGTATGAAAGTCCAGCAAGATCTAAAGACCCAGAACACCCTGAGGGAACTGACAGAACGCGAACACAAGTTCTAAGTTCTGCGCCTTTACAAGACATGACTACTCAAAGAGCCAGTGCGATCTAAAGGGATCCTTGGAGGTATTCCACACGTTCAGGATCTTCCAGGGTTAGGGGTTAGTATGAGGGCCTTATCATGAGAATGCGGTTTGCATGCGGGTTGTTGAAACGGTTCTACTACAAGGTTCGATAGCGGTTTGATAATGTAGGAGTTCAAGCACTAGAATACGGCGGTGGAGCATATTACTGCACAGCGCCGTATATGGGGACCACGCGCCCAGGAATATTGCTGCACACCATTTAGCTCCTATACTGTATTATTTGAGGCCTAAGGAGCTACCTCCCTGTGACAGGCACTTCCTTGAAATTCTGTGGACTTGGAGCTGCGGCTGACGATGGCTACTTGCACTGGACTTGCTGAACTACGCTCTTGGAAGCTTTGCAACGCGTCACGGCAGTCGATGAGACATGTCAGATCCCTGGCATGGACAAACAAGCCAATTATTTAGTTGTACTATACAAGCTAACAAATCCTGAGGGTCTAAATACCTGGTATGTTTGCCAAACCGCCATCGATGCTGGGTACTGACAGTCTCGACTGTGGGTGGTCTCATTCGATTCAGGTTACATGTCGCAGTTACCGAAAGACACGTGTGCACAAGCAGACACACTGGTGCGCGGTACTGCAAGTATGCAGTTTTCACAGATGGACGGAATAGAATGATGAGGCTACATACACAGTTGTGTTACATGCACAGGAAGGTACAAAAAATGTAGGCGCACAAGTGTATTACGGACCAGTAGCTGAAGTGCTGAGGAGACGACGGTGCTCAGGAGACGGCGACGATGCCAGTGAGAGACCAGCCCATACCGAGACGGCGCTGGGAGCGAATAAAGCTTGTCATGGTTAAAGGAAACTGCAGGTGGGGAGTTTAGGGTATATAGGGCTTCTATAAGGCTTCCATAAGGTATATAGACCTTCTATAAGGCTCCTATAACGCTAGCTACTCACCTGAAAATGTCCTAGTCATGGTCGTGGCTTGAGAGTTAAACCGCTAAGCCCAAATCCTATTAAACCCTTGAACATCCCTAAGCCCTATAAACCCTAAACCCTCGCACAGAGGCTCCCGCAAAGAGGCGACTTCAGAATAGACTAGCTAAGTCCGAGGACAACATCCTGGTTGCAAATCACCGGCTCAGCAGGGAGTTCTAGGTTCATCCATCAAATCCTAGGTGCTATTAGGGCTGCCCCTATCAAAGTGGTGGGTGCTTACAAGGACGGTAGGCCTTGGAAATGTACAAAAGGAGCCTAGAAAACCCCGAGAGGGGACGGAAGAACTAGTCACAGGATTCCCTTACAGTCCCCGGAAAACTTCCTACGAGCACTACTAGACTATGCCCAAAAACCTCAGCGATTTAAAGATGCTGACACCCAACCTCGGCCTGAAGTTAAGCCGGTCAAGTCCAGAACCGTGGCTTTAGAACAAGGCTGTTTGCGATGTTTCATAAATTGCGTGGGAGACCCGTCAAAGCTATTCATCAGACGGATCCTACACCTGGTCCTACACCCTACTCCCTAAACCCTAAAAGCCTTAAGCCATGTAGGCTTTAGGGTTTTGGGGTTTAGGGTTTAGGGTTAAGCCCTAAACCCTAACCCCTAAACCCTAAACCCTAAACCCCAAACCCTAACCCCTCTTTTGGACTCCCTGGCCTTCTGGAACTCCACTTTGGGGATCGTGTAAGCTTCGCACTCGAAGAGGGCCCAAGAACCCAACTCCAAACCTCGAAATACCCAAGAACCCAGAGACTCCAAAACTCCTGAATTAAGGAATTTAGGGTTTAGGGTTTAGGGTAGAATTAAGGAGTATACCTTAGATCATACTAGAGATCCTATATCATCTACCCTAAACCCTAAACCACTATATGTACCCTTAAGGGTCCCTAGAAAGGCCTAAGGGCCCATACTTAGGGCCCATGGTTTCAACCTCAGACCCAGAGACTCCAAAACGCCAAATATTAGGGATCCTATTATAATTCAAGGTAAATTCCTTAACTAAGGGGTTTTGCAGTCTCTGGGAAGCACGACATCGTATGTTAGCTTGTTTTGGGGTCCTTATAATCTAAGGTTTGAAGTATGGGCCCCCAACATGGACCCTTAGGCCTTGTAGGGACCCTTAAGGGTACATATAGGGTATATAGGAGGTATATAAGGATCCCAGGGTTAAGCGCCCATACTAGGGGCCCATGGCTACAACCTTAGATATAGTAAGGATCCCACTAATTTAGAGTACTATATTAGGGTCCCCTATTTCGGAAACCCCCATATGGGTCTGGGGTTTGTATGATCATAGTTCAGACCCTAAGAGATAGGTCTTCGAATCTTAAGGATTCATATCCTACACCCTAAACCCGAAACCCTAAATCCTAAGCCATTATCAGTTTTGTCCAAAAACCAGCAACCTAAAAGCCGTTTCCAAGAAAGCGAATGCCTCCACTCAACGGTCTACTTGCTCTAAACCCTAGGGTTTTGGGGCTTAGGGTTCGACGTGCCCCAGATTCGCTGCTTGCGAAGATCCTTCTGCCCTACTGCCGGCAGGCTCTCTTTTCCGATTTCGGTTGGGGTGAGGGAACAGCTTAATACAGGGGCCTAAATAATTACCTATACTATTTTGGGGGTTCCTTATCATAGATATAGTACAATGGGTCCCAAAACCCTGTTCTAATTATTAAAGCCCCTACATTAGACTTGTGAGGCAGATTCGGTGGGCTTTGGCGTTAGAAGATTCAGATGTTTCGGGCTTAGGCTTGCAACACGGAGTCAGATTGGATCCATTGAGGCTTTGGGTTTAGGGTTTGAGAACACACAAAACTCTCGGATACCCGTTTGATTAAGTATAACCTTCGTATGATTGTAAGCATAGGATTGAGGGGATGTGCTTACGTCAAGAGAGCCGTTCTCGGATCTCCAAGATTATGTTCAATCCCTCGCTATACTTAACCCTAAACCTTAAACCCTAAACCCTAAACCCTAAACCTCAAACCCTAAACCTCAAACCCTAAACCTTAATAAACCTTAAACCCTAAACCCCAAACCTTAAGCCTTAAACCCTGAATTTAGCTGGTTCAGTCTCAAGGCCCCCACAAACAAGTGGGTTTTCGCTGGTGCTTGAGGGTTTTTGGGTATCGGGATGAGAAGTTTTCTAGGGCTTACAGGGTTTAGGGGTTTAGGGTTTAGGGGTTTAGGGTTGAGGGGTTTAGGGTTTGGGGGTTCAGGGTTTAGAGGTTTAGGGTTCAGGGTTTCGTGGTTTATGCAACCACCTTCACCCTTGACTCACTAAGTTCTCATCAACCTACTTCTTCCCACTTACATCCTAAACCCCAAACCCTCAAACCGAGAAAGGCCCCAAAGCCCTAAAGTCTAAATGGGAGTTTCCGAAAATTAGGGGTACCTTATTTTGGGGTCTTTATATTAAGGATCCTATTATTTAGGGTACTATATTAGGGTCCCCTTTTTTCGGAAACCCCCATAAATCACAAAATTCCACGAGTAGCTTCTCGAGAAGCCAGGTTGCCAACCACCCGAAGAAGCTCATGACCTTCTATGCTACGGCAGTGCTTGCTGCGGCCTGAAGAGTAGGGCTCTGTAATCAAAAAAGGGCTACCCTAAGGTTGCTGTGATGGTTCTACAAGGCTACTATGAGGGGTTTAGCATCGAAGGGTCCATGTGCCGATCTGCTATATACTTAGACCTCAAAGGGGATCCTATAAAGGAGCCCCTGCAAGTTTCTTAAGATGGCCTAAGCATATACGGTATAGGTACATGAACCCTTGGCGTAAGTTTCAAACGTGGGATTCGGGGTTCGCTTGCGGGGTCCGCTGGAGACCTTCTTGGGTACGACGATGCTAGAGAAATTCCTTTTCCCGGCAACATCCACGCAAGATGTTGCGTTCTATGCGCGCCGATTCTAGTCTAGCCGCCGGAAGTGCTGGGTAAAGATCGAGCAGGAGGTTTACGCCTACTTTGCCCAACCCAAAGACGATCTCAGATGCAACCTTTCTTGGAACAGTTTGGTAAACTCAAAGAGCTCAAGCAACACTCACAAGCCCTTGCACAAGTTCGATGTCATGCTTCCTATACATGCCAGTATATGTACAATGTACTTCTTTGGGTCTTGCATGATACCGTAACATTATGCTTAGGATTCAGAGATAAAACTAACCGTAGAACGTGGACCCCTACATCCCACTCCAATTCAGTCAGGCCCTACATTAACCCAAGGTGCCCCCGAAAGACGAGCCTTCACACTCGACTCGTCACAGTTTAGGGCTTAGGTTTTGCAGTTGCTGCGTGGTGGTTCATGAGCTCGCCATCTAGCCGCACTGCAAACCTCCAAACCACCGAACCCCGTAGCTAGAAACAACCCGAACCCTAAGACAGTACTTAAACTCAAGGGTCACGCAAACCTGAAAACACAAATCCTCAAACTCCCACTGCTCCCCATGAGCTCTTAGGTACCCTTGGCCATCTTCATCGTGCTGCGGGGCTTTGCCCTGGAGTCGGACTTTAGTGCAGGGACGCCTGATGGATTGAGTCTGAGGTGTCATGCTCTAGGAATCGAGGCTTAGTGAGTGGGGTTGAATTGCGAAGCTCGGCGTAGGACTCAGGGCTGACTCATGACTAATCATTCGGCTCTCGAAACCCTAGGCCTTAGACCCCTAAACATGGCTAAACCTCCCAAAGTAGGTGCTATTTGATTGTATACCTGGAGCCGTAGGGACATAGTTGATTAGCAATGTTCTTCCATACGGCTCCTGGGCTTCCCACAGCCGAAGGGAAGCGAACCGAGATCACGTGGTTCTTAATATAGAAGCTTAAACAATTGCCTACATTATTCCTTAGGTTCCTTCTTGTTATAATATAAATATAAAGAAGCCCAAAACCCTATTCTAATTATTAAGGCCCCAACATTACTAAGCCCCAAACCCTAAACCCTAAACCCTAAATCCTAAACCTTAAACCCTAAACCGAAACCCTAAACCCTAATCCCCAAACGGGGCAGAGACTAAGCGGACCCCAGGCTTTCTTGATGCGTGCACGGGGTCGGAGTGGGGGGTCGGAGGCTTCAGGGCTTTCGGGTCAGCGTTTAGCGTTTAGGGGGTTCAGGGTTTAGGGTTTACGGGGTTTAGGGTTTAGGGTTCACGGGGTTTAGGGTTTAGGGTTTGGGGTTTAGCGTTTACGGGGTTTAGGGTTTAGGGTTTGCGGTTTAGCGTTTACGGGGTTTAGGGTTTAGGGTTTAGGGTTTAAGGCGGCCTTCAAGGCGGGTTTAGGGTTTAGGGTTTAAGGCGGCCTTTAAGGCGGGTTTAG